ACGCCTTTTTACAACCAAGTGAACTAATTAATAAAATTTATTTCTTTTTTTTTTTTTTTTTTTTAATTTCTTCCCAAATTAACAACACATGGGAAAAGTTTGTTTCTGACCAAAATGTAAATATATATATGTATATATATATATATATATATATATTTTTTTTTTTTTTTAACCACTCCTATTGTGTCATTAAGGGTGTGTGCAGTGTTGAGGTCTGCCGCTCATCCATCCTGGGTGACACACATTTTTATGTCTCCATTTGTTAACACCTCCCATTCTTTATTAAAATGGATCACCGTGATGAGTAGTTGTCTTTCTTAAGTGCTCTGTCTTTGTGAGCCATAATTGTGGTTCATAAATGAGTCTAGCAACACGCACACTGGGAGATCATTACACCCTTTCGAAGGTATGGCGTTGCAGTGGCGTCCCAATGACGCCTCATCTGTGGGGGAAAAATATATGCGTAACTGTGTTCACAGATCAGAGGAGGGAAGACGCCACCTATTCTGTTTGTCCAAACGGTGCTTATGCTGTTACAAAAAAGTGGGTAGCACAAATATGCGGCAAAATGAACGCTTAAATTCACGCTTCATATTGTGCACTGGAAAATGGCAAACAGTGGGCAACGGCGGGGGATGTACTTCTAATATGAGATACCCTCCTGCGATGCTGCCTCATGTGCAGAGCGGGGTTCAACCAGTTGCACTGCCTGCCCTTTTAGCGGCCCCGTTTCTTCATCCCTACTCATAATAAATTGCTCACTCTTTCGAGCTAATGCAATGATGTCCCTCCTCACAAGGTCAAACTCAACCTCCACAATTTCAGCACTCCATTGTTTAGCAACAAAAGTGTATAAAAGCTCCTCGTAAGGACTGAGCGGAGAGGGAACTCCAACACCGTTTCGTTTTGCAACGTTCAGGGGAAGGAAAAAAATACGAGAGGGTATATAAATCGACATACGTTTTTTTTTCCATCCTCGTAGTTGACAATTTTTTTTTTTTTTTTTTTTGTTCTATCATCAATTGCTCCATGGATAACACAAATGTCGGTGAATGTCCCGTGGCCTGACTCTGCAATTTTTTTTTTTTTTTGTTCGTAAAACATTTCACAAGTTACACAAAGCTCGTGTACTAAGTGATACGCACAACTGTGAGAGTGAGTACGGGTGTGTCCCCTCCAACTTGACATTTGAAGAGAACACAAATATATGCACTTGTAGGTGTGCATGTATTACGTGAACAACTTAAATAGGATCAACAGAGGAGTAGCCACACAAACGCCGATCACATGGGCGCGACAGTTGAGAAGAAGGCAACATGGATTACAAAAGCGAACAGTTGGCGGAAAAGGAGAGCTTGTCACTTTTGTACGAATGTACAAATGAATTTATTTGCATAGACGACAAGAGTTTTAAAATCCTCATTGAAAATAAAGCCAAAAAGATTTCCTTCTACTTACTCTTTGAGCACACGGAACGGTACCCGGACGAGGCCCCCTTATGGAAGATCGTCGATGGTAGGATGATGGTGCAGAGAAGTATCTCCGCTGATTTGTTTTGTGCCCATTTGGGACAGGACCCCGCTCATGCAACGGGGACATGTACACATAAAAATGGGGTTTCGTGTCCTTATGCATTTGTGTGCGTCCATGATAGGCCATCTACGGAGAATGGCCCTTTTTGCCAAAGTTGCTGCGTTTTTATAAACGTCCATATTTGTGTATATAATTTTTTTTTTTTTTTCTGACTTGTTCAGGCAAAAATGTAACCAAGAGGCTACGCGAAAATGTGCACCAGCAAATTCGAGAGACGGTGGAAAATAACTTGGGCTACAGCATGATTTATAACATTGTGGAAAATATAAGGGTAAAGACCAGGGGAAGGAACAATCCGAGAGTTCGTTCGAACAATCGTACATTTTTTTTTGTTGTCGTGTTACTGTATGACCATTTTTTGGCTCTGTTCTGTATACTCAGGGGTTATTTAAAACGACACGAACATATTTTCCCTACGTTATATTTATCCAACGCGTTTTTTTTTTTTTTTTTTTTTTGTCCCCTTCCTTTTTACAGTCCTACCTGTCCGAAGACATTGAAGAAAAATCCATGTACGACGAAATGCTGGAGAGGAAACCCAAGGAGGATGAAGAAGAAATGAATGATGAGGACTCCGATGACAAGACGGACGCAGAAGATTACGAAAATGTTTTGGAGTTGAAGGAGCTGTGTGAAGAACGGGTGCGTCTTCGCACGCTTTTATTTATACACCCACTATGCTATATACCTGTATTATATATATATGCATGAACGCACATTTCTGTGTTGTATATCGCGGCGTCCTGTATCACACCTACTCGCGCGATGTTTGTTCACCCCCTCCTGCAGTACCGAGTAACCGAGGAGGAATTCGACGCATGGCGAAAAGAGTTTTACAAAAACATTTTCGCTGAAATGAAAGCTATTAATATGTCGGACAATCCTACAGGGCGGGAGCTCTTTGAGAAGGGAAAAATTAACTTGGCCGATGTAGAATTTGAAGAGGGTAAAGGAAACGAGTGTGAGCATGCGTCCAGTCCTCATTAGAACTGCTCTCCATTAAAGCCGCTCTTCATATGTTCACTCTTCCTCCGTCCACTGCTCATTATTCCGCTCTTCATTTTCCTTTTCAGGGGAGGCCAAGTGGTGCAACGAAGAATTATTTTGCGATCTTGAATTGGACATATGATACCACGAGCCAGGCGCATCGGTTAGCGCACTTGTTTATGGAGGAAAAATATACAAGCTTACCAGCCCTACCTACACAAGTTACGCTTGTTCGCGATGCAATTTATGCGAATCCTCCCCCATGTCACAGGCTTTTTCTGCCCGCCCCGTTTTGTTCTTACGTCCATTCGGATGAGCATTCTTTTTTTAAACAGCCAATTTGACAAGCGCGTGTTTCATCAACACACACGTTTTTATCTTTTAACAGTTTTGTCGCTTCCCCTTTTTGACGAGAATGTTTGTTTGGATTTCCCATTTTTTTTTTTTTTTTTTTTTTCCCTCACCGCACACAACTGTAAAACTGGTGAGTATTTCACCCGATTAACATTCCTCTTGAGTTATTTTTACGCTACATGTTAGAGGAATAAACAGCATCCGCTTTTTATTTTGTTCATTTATTTTATCCCACCTGGACGATTAACCCCACAGCGCGCACGTGGAATGAATTCTCCGATCGCTGCGGGGAGGGAGCCAAAAATGAGAGAAAAAAAAAAAAAAAAATAGCACTGCGCAAAGCAAACTACCAAGCATGATCAGCTGCAAAACGCATTTTTGCGGCAGCCTGTTCCCCACCAATGCGTTGGCAAGCAACAGGTCCCCCGTTCGATCTTAAAACAAATTAAACCAATAAATGACGCTGGGTCATAGGGGGGTAAACGTATGTATATATTTTTCTCCGCGTGCAGGTTGCATTAGGGTAATCCTTAACAAACGAATGGGTGGCGCAGCAGTGAGAACAAAATTGGGCACATTCGCGTAAGCGATGTTGCCGAGCATGTGCCTTTGCGACACATAATGAAACGTGTCACATTGCACACAGCACATGGTATGTATAAGTTGTTATGCGCTTTGTACCTTTTTACCTTTTTTTTTTTTTTGTTGTTTGCTCCCCCCCCCTCGATGGGTTGTCGCTGGGCTGTCCCTTGCGCTTCGAATTAAAGCTTACGAGAGAGCAGTGTCCATGGGTGGAAAGTGCTGCGTTCGCAGCAGGGACAGGCTGTGGTAGAATATGCCTCCCCTGTCCTTTCCACACCTCTGCTGACTTTGTTGAATTATCAATAGCAGTATTTTTAAAATCCAATTCGTTTGTTAGCACCGTTTTCGCTTTTTTTTTTTTTTTTCATTTTTTTTTTTTTTTTTTTTTTTTTTTTTTTTTTTTTTTTTTTTTTTTTTTTTGTGATAACACGGCGTCTGTCTTTTGTGAACGATGGGGAACACGCTGTATAGTGGCACAGGGTGCAGTTCCACCCAGCTGGACGACATCTACGGCAAGTACTTAAACAACCTGTATAACATTTACAGTTACTTGTTCAAGTATGAGCATTTTGTTTTTATGAATTGCTACGCGTTGAATTCATTTTGCCATGTCTTGGAGGTAAGGCGTACACGGAGTTGTAGAGCGCCGCGTTTTCGTAGCGTCCCGCGTAGTCGTAGCACTCTTAACGCTGTTGCGAGTGCGCCCCTGACTTGAGTGGCTAACCCCGTAAAATCATGCAACCCACCCCTGCAGGGAATCAACAACAACGAGGGACATGTGCTGATCAAAGTGTTCAAGCTGAGATGCGAAACGCAAAAAATAAAAAGGATTCTGTACACGCTCAAGTTTCTCTTCTCCTTTGACCTCTTCCCAAATGTGTAAGTTCTCTCCAGAGAGGGAGAGCACCGTAAATCATGTCGTTGTTATGTTCCACCACTAACCGTGCCCTTATCTGTGCCCCTACCCCCATCTACCCCTTCTGCCCCTGCAGCCTGCCCTACAACCGAATGAGCGTATACGAAAACAATATTTACATATACAGAACGTTTGTGTTTAAGAGCCTGGATCACTACCTCTTCAACGAGAGAAACAACAAGCCGTTCAAACACTTTTTCCTTTTTCAAATTTTTCTCGCCATTATCCAGTTGCACTCGCTCGGCATATACCATGGTCATATAAAGAGCGAAAATTTGTTACTTCAAAATAGCATGCACATACTCATAACGGACATAAACATATTGAACAAGTACCTGTATTTCATTCCAGGTGTTAGGTGCGTTTGGGTGTGTGACTTAACGCCGCAGCGTGTGACTCTGCTTCAATATCACACATGTGTGCACATATACATATGCCTTTACACACGCATGCCTGTACACGTATCACGTCGCAGGTGTGAAGACAAGTGGAGCAGCCTACTGGAGCGCCTGCAGAGGTTGCAGGATGACATTTTCAACCTGGGAATTCTGGTGCTGGAAATTCTGCTCAGCGATAAAAACGTATCCTACGCATTTCTAAAGGAGAATTATCACGACAAAAATGAATACAATTTTTATCGTGGTAGGAGTAGGCAAGGCATGCTCCAATTTGGGGGATGTGGAAAAGGGGTAGAGAAAAACGGCGCCAAAGGTAAAGCAAATGCTAAAGTGAAAAGAATAAAAAGAAAAGAATATACAGACTGCGTATTCCCCAGTAGTGGTAGTGTGGACAGTACAGAACATGTAATACACCTCTCCACAAAGAAGACGACAAGCCACAACTTCGTTCACGCACTCTCCTTACCATTTATAAACAAAAAGATTAAAAACGAAGAGGAGAATTATTTTCAACAAAACAAGCATGTTAAAATGAACATCGACAAATATAAGCACTACAATTATCATTACATTAACAGCGTAAATTATATTAACATTTATAACGACTTTTATAACAACGGGACATTGAGTCCGGTCAATGAGGCCAAGTCTCACAGGGAAAGCCTTACTACTTATGGAGCAAACATGGAGAATGAGGTTGTTTATAAAAGTAGGACTGCTCCATATGGGGGAGGGGGTGACTCAGATTCGTTCGGGGAGGTTCCCCATGCGCACAGCGATTGTGAGGTGCTCGGGGCAGATAACAAGGGAGTAGGGGACAGGATCAACAGGGCCACTTCCGACCGACTCGATTTGCACGTGCCGCGGGATTGGGGGGGAACAGACTGCAGAGAGGGGTTAGAGGTGGGCGTGCAGCACTCCTCGGCAGTTGTCGACGCGCAGGTTGTCACTGCAGAGGTTGACGCGGCAAAGGAGGACCCTGCGGAGGATGGCAATGGAGAGGTGGGCCGAGCACCCCCCCCGCGCAGACGCGCTCGACACACAGACAAAAGAGAAGAAAAGGGAGTGCCCTACAAAATATGGAAAATTGTGAACGTAGCAAAACACCCATTTATCGTATACTCCCTCATCAATCATTTCTTCCTTCAAAAAAAAAAAAATATTTTTAATATATTTCAATACTGGTCCTATTATGTCTTTCCTAGTACATACAAGTACGTGTTTTTTCCTTTGACCCTGTTGCAGCTGCACCCCGTGTTTAAGAATGCAGACTTTTTTATCTTGCTGCTTCATTTTAACTTACCGTTCATTCTGTTCCACCTGGACATATTTGCGAAAAAGGAACAGGACAAATATGAAATGCTAAGAATGGGGGGCACCCAAAACTGGGATGACGCAAGGAGCCCTTGTAGACTCCATCATCAGGGGAGCTCCCACGCACGTGATGGGGGAAGCAGTTCGGGGGACACACACCCCTCCTCAAGGCGCTCACAGGGGAAAGACAAGAAGACACTTCCACAAACGCAGCCACCGCCGCTAAGCGCGCCGCTACGCCCACCTCAACGACACGGGCTGGGGCGCTACGCGGGTCGCCTGGCCCACTTCGTAGACCTCGTTGAGGAGTTCACCACGGGTGTCAACAAGCGACAGATGGAGACCTACATCAGGGGCAGTGACTTCGCAGATGACGTGAAGACGCAGCTGTTGCAGCAGTGGCAGACACACAGGCGAGAGGTGAACGGGGGACACAGCCGAACGAGTAGAGCGTACCATTCAACGTGCCACTTTCCCTTCCCCACCCTATCGTACAAGAACGCCCACGAGTTTTATAAAAATTTCTTAACCTTTTACAAAACATTGTTTAATGCGATTTTCCACAAGGACCAAAGCTACATTGATATATTTAGCGGCTTGGAGATCTGCAAAAGGGAAATTTACGCGCCCCTCTTTCGGGGTGCCTACATCAGGCGCGGTTCCCACCATCGGTGCAGCAACGCCAGTGGGGGGAGCAATACGAATACTTTCCGCTACCCCAAGTGGAGGTTCAACGAAGACGTATTTCAACTGGTAAACATGATAATCACCTCGTACCACTCCCTCACATACGAGTCGACCAAGTTGCTTTGCCTCGAAATGCTCTACTGCATAATTTACCATCTCAACGATAGTACCCTCAACAGAGAAGTGGCGTCTTTCCTACTGTTTTGTATGAACAAGTCAGGTGAAAAATTAAAAGTTATAATCATCAAATGCTTTTACAAAATTATACACAATGAAAATGCATACGAACATATGTACCCCTACGTGGAAAAATTCTTGCCGTCCTTTTTCTCTCTCAAGGACAGTAAAGAAAAAATTGAGAAATATTTTTATGTGAAATATTTACCGCTAGTCGCAAATGTGACCGTTCAATATATATATAATGTGAGTCTGTTGAAAAAAGGTGGAAGAAGGCAAAAACAAATTTTAAAGGGAGAGCAGCATGGACAGGAAAAAGGCCCTGATGAGATCACCATCTCGGAAGTGAAACACATGGACATGTTAAAAACACTTCGCAATCAGTTAGTGCACATTTTAAAATACGCCACTGATGAAACTATTTTGTTTGAGTTTTATGAACACTTAATCACTTTTTGTAAAATCATGAGCAGAAAATGGGTCAAAATTTACATCCTCCCATATTTACTAGCAAATATTTACAAGACGAAGAATAGCTTTATCCGAGCTCTGTCCATTCGAATCACCCTGAGAATTATGTCCTACATTAATGATAATGAAACGTATAAAATGATTTGTGCTTATGTGAATCCAATTCTGTTTGAAGGAAATGAATTGGCTATTCTTTTTTTGCTTTCCGAGTGTAACATCCTCCTGAAGAAAAATGCGCGCAAGGGGGCACGCTCCACGATAGTTCCACCGAGTGGCCACCCAAGTGAACCGGGAAAAAGAAACAAAAGGCGCATACTATTCTTGCACAAACTTAAGCTAAACCACCTCCGCAATCACCCCTCTGTCGCCATTCGTGATTTGGTACACACAGTCCAGGCCAGTCTACTCCAAATGGCCACCTAACACGCATGCGTCCGTCGATCTCTGCGCGTACACGTATATATATGTGCAGCTGGAAAAAGCGTTTCGCCAATGTTTTTTTTTTTTTTCGTGGCGCCACATTTGCTTTGCTAGCACAGCGTGCAGTCATGCTTTTTCCACGTTACCCAATTTTTTTTTTTCATTTGTTTCCCCATTTTGGCGCACTGCCATGCGCATTTGTGTCCCACCACACACCCTCTGCGCTTCATGCGTTTGCAACACATAAGCACATTTGTATAAAAAGGAAAACTTTTCCTTCTTTTCCACACCGCGTCACATATGTGGTGACTTCAGTTTCCATAACTCAGCATTTGCAAGACGGCGAACATGTTCACTGAGCCGCGCACCAAGCACGTTTTTACTTGTCCAGCGAACTTGGCAAATTTGTTCCTCCACGGGGTGGTGTCAGTATGTATACACACACGAGCAGATATATCTGCGGGGGCTGATGGGTGGTCTTTTTTTTTCACTTGGTTGAGAGCGACCAGGAACAGTAGCGAAAAAGCGGAAAATTACCAAAATGGAAGAAGTGGAGAACGTTGAGGAAGTGCCCACAATGATCAGCGCTGATGAGTTATCACCACCCGACTGCTCCTAACCATGTTGGGTGTGCCATAACGACACCGTTACATTGTTTTTTTTTTTTTCTCTGTCTTTGTTGCATGCGCAATTATAACCCCTTTTTTAATAAATTTGCCCTCACCAGTTTTCCAAAAATTTTTTAAATGTGAAAAAAAAAAAAAAAAAAAAAGAGGCAACAATTTCGGCTGAAACAATTACACACCATGTATATTTACATAGCTTTAACAACGCGCTTCATTTTTTCACTTGTTCTACTCTGTCAACACTTGTAGATTCAACACACACAAGCAATTTCGCGCGAGCTATTGCATTCTGTTCTTGTGCACAGAACAAGATGTGAAAATGAGTTTACAAATTAATTAATCAGTATTGTTTTTTTTTTTTTTTTTTTGCATGACTGCGTGTGTGGGTATGTATGTGTGCAGTTTGATTTGACGCACGCTTTTCCGAGTTCCCGTAGTGCTCAGCGTTATAGCCTTGGTGGTCGGCACTTCTCCAGAGCGTAAACGTGTGTGTATATCTACCTATTACATATACAGATTCATTTGTGTGCACACACGCGTTACACACATACTTGGCAGTGGAGAACTTTCACAGGTGCGTACACTTTTTTTCTCCCGTTCATTTGATTACGCAAAAATTTACGAATATCGTGACCAGTGCTTTAAATACCAAACGATCATGCGTGAATAATAACAAAATTCTTTATGTATAACATTCTGCTGCGGAGAAGCATTAGGAGAGAGAAACATTCTTACGTTAGGGGGAAAACTTATATTAAACGGGGTTCGTACAACATCGTTTTTCTAAACTCCCTTGGATGTTGTTTTTTTTCCAACACACGTGCGCAATTGTAAGCGGTGTGGTGTGGATTGTCATTTGGTTATATTTCATTGATTCTGTTTTTAATTAAGAAAAATTTGCATTACTTGCTAGTAATTTTTCCGTTTCTCACTCTTCTTTATCACCTCACTTAACTTTACAACACGTGTGTTCGTTCGTACGTTTGTGTTATTTACACATATTTGTACTTACGTCAATAATTAAAACGTACACACATGTGTGAAGACTTTTAAAGTACACGATTTTTTCGTTGTGTACTTTTCTTTGGAATGACTCTCCGACTAGCCAGAAAAAAAAAAAAAAAAAAAAAAAAATTACCATCCTATATAGCGTTAAAAAGAAGAGAAATATTCTTGCCTGGTCAGGTGAAATTTAACACAATTTTTTAATTTCCTTTTTTTTTGTTGTTTTTCTCCACCATTACTGTAACCCTCCCATTTTGTAACCCTCCGATCATTGAGAAAAATGGAGGTACTGCAAAACATGCAACGAATGGACAGGAGGATTATGGAGATCAGAAATCTGCGAAAATTGATGGACGATGAGCTAGACATTGAGCTTAATGGGGAAGTAGGAAATTACATTAACGCGCTAGCCAATTTGCACATTTTGGAAAAAAAAAAAAAAAAAAATTCCCAATTGGTGGTGAGCTCGGAGGAACTCAGAAATTGCGGCCATAAAAAGGGCCGAAGGAGATCGCGAAACAGCTACTCGTCGAATATGGGCGGACGAGGAAGGAACAACGAAAATAGGAATAGTAAATCGAATGGAAAGAGATGGAGTCGCGACGGGGGGAGACGCTCCGGAGGAAGTAGAGGAAGTGGCGAGTACAGCGGAGGAAACGGTGACGATGGTGACGATCGTGACAATCGCAACAATCGCGACAATCGCGACAATCGCGACAACCGCGATGAAGAAGATAGCGATGAAGAGGAAAAGGAAACACCCCAAAGTGACGACGACCAAGACAGTGACCAACCCAAAAAGGCTAAGAAGAAAACAGAAGACAGCGAATCTGAAGAGGAGAGACAGGTGGAAGAAGAAGAGGAAGAAGCATCCGCAGAGGCAGACCACTTAACCGAAGACACGCGCGACGATGCTGGCGACGTGACTCAAATGAGGGAACCCGAGCAGCTAAAGTTGCTGGGAGATATGCAGCTGATGGCGACCCCCGAAATGGTGAATGCACAAATGAGCGAAGGAGAGACCCAGGAACAAACAACAAACATTGTTGAGGACAACGACATACATAACATGATTAACGAGAACGCGTCGTCCATTCGAGAGTACAGCTTTGAAGATGTGCACATCAAGGCCTGCCTGTCAGATAACAACGCCGCGGTGCAGAGGTTATCGGCAGAGGAGGCTCGAAAGATCGGAAAGAACATCGTGAGCAACCCATTTACGGCCAGCAGTTGTGCAGGAGAAACGGATGAGCAGTACATACGGGGAGACAGCCTTGGGGAGAGCGACACAATGCAGAAAGGAGGAGAGAACTTTCAAGACTCTCAACTCAGGCGCTACAAGACCGAGGCCATCAACCAGTGCATCCAGAGACAGCAGACGCAAATGAAACTGAACAATGTGTTGACCGAGCTGAAATTTAAAAGCGCACACCATTTTGATTACCCCCAAGGGGAAGACTCGGAAGAGCATAGCCTATCAGGAAGAAACATGAACGATGGTGTGGAAGGGATGGAGACACACAAGAAACATTCTCACACCAATGATCAGCAACCAGGAGGATACAGCAGCCGCTTTGACCAAAGCTACACCGACTTTGTCAAACACTACGTAACACACGTTGGAAATTTTTACAGAGATGTGGCCAAACCACAAGTTCAAAAAATGATGAATGCAAAATCGCAATCGTTTGGATTAAGACATTTATATAGGAATGCAGGAGATTCATCGTACGCTTATGACAATTCCGATTTTAACAGATCATTCTCCACCTCTATAGGGGATGGAGACACAAAGAGGGAAGCAGACGATTGTAACTTTACAAATTACCTGACCTGTTCAGGCGAAAAGGACATAAATAGGTTTTTTGAAGAAAACATGAACTGCATAGCAACGCCTTTTGCGGAAATGAAAAAATACATGCCTACGCATTTGGGCTATTACGAGAATTTTAATTACTCCAAGGCGTTGGAGTCGATTGGGAACTACGACTGCACGAATGCCAGGGGGTACCTGGAAAACTATGATTGCGTGAAGAATGCGCGCGCGTTTGTGGAGGACAACTCGTGCGCAACGGGCATAGCACAGCTGGCGGAGCACGTGAACTTGGAAAATGTGCGAAAACAGGTCAACTTGGACAACGTGCGAAAACACGTGAACTTGGAAAATGTGCGAAAGCACGTGAACTTGGAAAATGTGCGAAAACACGTGAACTTGGAAAATGTGCGAAAGCACGT